CATGTTTGTAAACTGTTTAATAAATGTAACCAAAACCGTCAAAGATTACGGAAAGATGTACACGTTCGTAAGTACTTGCGTAACTGCTTCGTGAATCTCGCTCCTGGGCAAGGATCATGTAAGGTAGAAATAGTCTAAGCTACTATCTCCTTTTGAGAGGTATCTTATTGTCTCAGTTAACTTATTTTACTTAATCTGGAATCACCTAAGACCTGTGTTTGGACTTTTGAACTTTCTGATATTGGTGCTTTGTGTAACTTTGTACCTTCAATAAAGTACTGTAAACCAAAAAGTAGTAAAGAATTTTTCTTTAAAAAGTAGTAAGACAATTTTCTTGTAAGTTACAATTAGGTTCGCAGGCGATCTTAGACACCGTCTCGGAGACTGAATGATCTGACCCAACTAAAAATACCCCTCGCTGAATGACTGGATATCATTTCCCAGGAAGAAATATATCTCAGCGGAAGACTAGATATCACTTTTCAGGAAGAAATACCTCTCAACAGGAGACTAGATATTATTTCCCAGGACGAAATACCTCTCAATGGAAGACTAAATATCATATCCCAGGAAGAAATACGCTCACTGCCTACATCAAACCCTTCTCTATCTCTCTATCTCTCCTATGACTGAGAGAACAGAATTCAGGTTGAATGTAATGTCAAAACTGTGAATTGAGCATCCAACCGTGTTAATACATTCGGCCCCAGAAGTTATCGCAGTAAATGTTAATAAATTTTACACGCAAAACACAATTTTGTTTTTCATTTTATATAAAGTGCAGAAAATATCAATTCAGTTACATGAGAGAAAGTCTATTTTAGACCAGTAGGTTGAGGAAGATAAAGGTGACATTGGAAATGTTGATGTGTAGTCATGTAAATATTTACATATTTTCCAGGGCCGTGACTGTAAAACGACTTGCTCTGAATCGTGTGCACCTGGAACGCTGGAATCTGGAAAGGATGCCAGAGGTATTAGTTTAGTCAGTCACAGCTCGACTGACGGACGGATATTGCTTTTGGAGAGTTATGAAAGGAAATTCTATACCGAATTAAATATATAAATAAAAACTGAATTCTTACAATTCATATAGATTTTTGTTGGGTGTATATTGCGTTTCAGAATGGGGGATGGCAGCTCGGGCGACCCCACAGGAGCACTTGGGGGATATGGATAGGGAAAGAGGTATTTTCAGTTCACGGTGTACAACAGGGGTGAAGTGGAACCCTGGAAGGCAGGCTACATGTAAACCATTACGTACAATAGGGGTAAAGTGGAGCCTGGTAGCGAGACTACATGTGAACCATTATTTACAACAGGGGATGAGGTGGATCCAGGTGGAAAGGCTACATGTAAACTATTATGTAGAGCAGAGATGCGGGGGGGACTTTGTTGGGGAGGCCACATGTCAAGTCTGCATAGGTGGCCACATGTCTATATTCTGCATATAGTGGACGTCCTCTACCGTGTAACATACATGCTGTCACTGATAGTGATGAAGTCAAAGCCACCCCCCATACACTCCCCCTTCCGTATGCCATTTATTCTATCACTATTAATGAGTGATTTCGTTTCGTTACGTTTCGTTACGATTTCGTGCACATATTTCTACCCGAGATGGTCCGTGTTGCGCTAATGGAACAGATTTGTGACGGCATCGAGTGAACATTGATGTTTGCTGATGTTTATTTAGCATCAAATTAACTCGTGTGTGTGTGTGTGTGTGTGTGTGTGTTTTCCCATGGAAGGATGTTTGAGCGATTCACTTCCATTTAGCTTTGATGTTAGAGACGATTATTCTGCATGCATTTAATACGATGTTCAGTGTTGCGGTGATCGTGACAAATTCCTATATTATGTAGACATTTCTATATTGAAAATTATTTTTGAGAAAGGTTTAGAAGCACCAGCCAGAAAACTTCAAAATTAGCCAGTTGTCTGGTGACTGACCTACCTTTGGTTGTATTAGAGAGACGTAGATCTTACAGAGAATCGTAGATCTTACAGAGAGACGTAGATCTTACAGAGACGTAGATCTTACAGAGAGACATAGATCTTGCAGAGAGACGTAGATCTTACAGAGAAACGTAGATCTTGCAGAGAGACGTAGATCTTACAGAGACGTAGATCTTACAGAGAGACATAGATCTTGCAGAGAGACATAGATCTTGCAGAGAGACGTAGATCTTACAGAGAGAAGTAGATCTTACAGAGAGACGTAGATCTTGCAGAGAGACGTAGATCTTACAGAGTGACGTAGATCTTACAGAGAAACGTAGATCTTACAGAGAGACGTAGATCTTACAGAGAGACGTAGATCTTACAGAGAGACGTAGATCTTACAGAAAGACGTAGATCTTACAGAGAGACGTAGATCTTACAGAGACGTAGATCTTACAGAGAAATAACCTTTCTCTGTGGACGCTACACCGGAGAACCTTTCTTCTTGGGGATGGAGGAGTCAGCGGATCTCTCCGAATATTGGTAATCAGGCAATTCATTATCAAGCACAGCAAGAGTCCTCGAGGGACCGAACTATCACGAGGCTGAAAATGATCCATAAAACAGGTCGATCTCGGAAATTAAACCAAATATCCAACCTAACTAAACCCCTGATAAGCTTCGTCTAACTTTACCCACCCTAAGGAGACTACCCTAATGAGGTTCATATCCTAGGAGAATATGCAGTAGAACACAGGTGTTTTCTAACCGCATTGAGGGTGTTAAGATAGTGATGAGTATGTCCAAGATGGTGAGTATGATCAAGATAGTGAGTATGAACAAGATGGTGAGTATGCGCTAGATGGTGAGCGTTCCCAAGATGGTGAATATGTCTTTGATAAGCAAATGATAAACAGCTGGTGTTGAATACAAGTGGGAGGGAGACATTCGATACTGTTGTTGTTTCATTAAGGCGCGTCGCTCATCACAGTCAAGGAGATCAGCCCACTGCAGGAGGCTGTACACGAGGGAGGGAGGGAGGAAGGAAGAATTAAAGAGAATAAGAGAGAAAGAGAGGAGAGAGAAGGGAAGAAAAAGAATGAGAAAGAGGCAGGAATGTAGGTCGGGCTGCACTCTACAGAGAATCAAATATTTTTCTTCGCAGAATCCTCCAAAGAGAATGTGCAACAATTTCGTCGTAAATGTAATATTCAGGCAAAAAATCCCTTTGAAAGTCGAGGTTATATTACACACAATTATATTCCTATTTATATACTCACCCAGTTTTTCCACGCTCATTATCAGGCAGAATGTTACTCATAAAAACATTCACATTCTTGCGCTGACAGCTGGGTGGACAGCGCTTCAGATTCGTAGTCCTGAGGTTCCGGGTTCGATCCCCGGTGGAGGCGGAGACAAATGGGCAAAATGTTTCTTTCACCCTGATCCCCCCTGTTACCTAACAGTTTACAGGGAGTTAGACAGCTGCTACGGGCTGCTTCCTGGGGGTGGAGGCCTGGTCGATCCAGAGACCCCGGGCCGCGGGGACATTATGCCCCGAAATCATCTCAAAATAACCTCAAGATATTCTACTGAGAATAAATGTATATAGTTAGACTTAGTAACCTAAACAAAATAAGGGATTTACCTCAGAATACAACTCACAGAGTTTCCTAACTCTCGGGCAACAGTTTACTGTAAGGTGAACAGAGGCATCTGGTGAAAGGAAACATTCGTGTCTCTTTGGATCCATTCTAACCGAACAGGCCCTTCTGCCCCCACCCCACACATACAAAACCATCCAAGCACCACAATAGTTTATACACTTTTCCCCATGTCCTCTCTTATTCTATACAAAGTGATTGGGCACCATTCTTCCCCCCCCCCCCCGTACCATCCCATATTCTTATCCTGATCCCTTCCAAGTGCTATATAGTCGTAATTGCTTGGGTGTTTCTCCTGATAATTCCATTCTATTCTTATTCTACACAGTGCTCACCCTGATGACAAGTGTGAGGAACTGGCACGACACGACGTATGTGAACGGATAAGCAAAGTGTGACAAAATAAGTCTGAACTCTCCACTGGAATCCAGACGAAATATCTGCCGATTTTAGAACGGTGTTGCGCTTGCTGTTGTTACTGCTGCTGCCGCTACGGTGCACCGGTGGAGGTCCCTCCTATTTTGCACACTCGCTGACTTTATCCACGGGCCGGAAATGGGTCCAGACTAGTGGCCTTTGCCTGGATGCTGCGACAAGTGCTCCAGCAGACACACGAGGCATCCGGCTACGGATGCTGCAATAATTTATTATACCGATTCATGCACGCGAGGTTAAGGCGTCCTTGCACCCCCTCTGAAACCCAAGAACAACTTGGCCTTCGCGCCAGAACATCAAAGAGACGTGCGAGTGTTGCAAATGGATCAAAGTTAGGCGTTCTACCCTTAGCTTACTGGAATACCTGTTCTTGCAACTCTGCTTTCAAGTGAGGTCATAAGAACAGATCCCGAGGGAGAAAAGCCGATCTGTGTGAGAGGTGGGACAGGAACGGTTAAGCACCTATGGGTCTGGCCAGTAACGGTTTGGGGTGACCGTGTTTAATATGTTTCCTCTCCTCGACACCAGAAATCCAAAATATATCCAGGAGCAGGTCGCCCACGCATCATACTGGAGGCGTCTGCTCGTCAATGACAAACTGAGCTTGACTAAGCGAGCCTCAGAGTAAAGAAGATCTTTATTAACGAGGGAGTGTTTCAGCTTGATGAGTCTTCGCCTTAGCCAATAGCCTTTCCAGGCTCCATCCTCCACCAGACTCATCCTGTGTCCGTCTACAGTCTTTCACTCTTCATGGCCATCATCCTCCACCTGACACACACACACACACACACATATATATATATATATATATATATATATATATATATATATATATATATATATATATATATATATATATATATATATACACGTTCGTTTTAACTACGTTATTGTGATTTAATATCTCTGTACTTGGAGACAGGTCGTGCATGCACTTAATTCTAAAATGTGTTTCAGATGGCCGGCGTGGGCGTGGTGGCGGCGGCGTGGTGTGTGTTGGCGTGGGCGGTGGGCGTGGTGAGCCAGCGTGCGCCTTGCTATCAGTGTGAACTGTATAGGGAGACCCACCCACACTCTAGCCCCTACACCGCGGTGAGTACACCCACACTCAACCTCCCACAGTGTGGCAAGTACACCCACACTCCACCTCCCACAGTGTGGCAAGTACACCCACACTCCACCTCCCACAGTGTTGCAAGTACACCCACACTCCAGCTCCCACAGTGTGGCAAGTACACCCACACTCTAGCTCCCACAGTGTGGCAAGTACACCCACACTCTAGCTCCCACAGTGTGGCAAGTACACTCACACTCTAGCTCCCACAGTGTGGCTAGTACACCCACACTCCAGCTCCCACAGTGTGGCAGGTACACCCACACTCTAGCTCCCACAGTGTGGCTAGTACACCCACACTCCAGCTCCCACAGTGTGGCAAGTACACCCACACTCTACCTCCCACAGTGTGGCAAGTAAAGTCACACTTCTGTTCATGTCAAATATATTTACTAAATAGACCATATTAAAAAAAATATCGTAATTCTCGTGCATGCCCCTTATGTTCTCACAATTTAATTAACATTTACAGAATTTTTTTTACATAGAATTTTGATTACACAGCTGTGGAATATTTCTCTGCCCACCGACTCTTCTGGTCTACCCCCCCCCCCTTCCTTTCAGGTCCCCATGTCTCTCTTCTCCCACTGCGTTAGTAGTTCGTTAAACACATTTTTTTTATTAATATGTTGTTCAGAAGGCAAAACGTGATTTCGAAATGGCATGTTTTATATTACATCTGTTTCATTCTGGAATATATATTGAATGACCAGCTGCTGATTGTTGCATTGTGTTTAGGGTTGATTGTTGCATCTGTCTGTCTCCTACGACCAGCCACCACTCTCTCACACACACATATTATTAGGTTTGATAGGGGGCCCAATTAGCTCCAGAATCTCTACACCAGTTGATTAACAGTTGAGAGGCGGGACCAAAGAGCCAAAACTCAATCCCCGAGTGCTTAACTAGGCGAATACACTCTCACCCTCTCACTATCTCTCGCGGGATGTTAAAAATATCTGTTCATCCATCATGAACAGATGGTTGTTTGAGCTGTTTCATGGTGAAATAACACAAACACCTTCCGGGAAACGTCGCCCAAACGTTCCTCGCAACTTTGGCTGCACCTGTCAGACACCCTGCCAGCAAGCCCCAGGATATTTACACTTTCTTCGTATAAATCCATAACAATTACAGGGGAAAGTGGTACAAAATATTTCAGTTAAGATGGACAAAAATCCCACAAGAACATATTACTCAGTATTAAGCAGCTCTCCACCACTTCCCTTACCACAAGGAGATTACGTAGATTACTTTAGATTACTTGGAGACAAGGTTATGTAGAATTGGTTTAACCAAACCTAAATAGCTAACTTCAGGGCCGACTAATATGGTTTTATATAAATTTGCCGTCTGAGGAAGTAGACCAGAGAGCAAAGAGGGTGGGTTATAAGAAGTTAGTGGACCAAGTATCCCTGAAGAATATCTGCTACTCATATTGAACCAATATGAGTACATTAGGGAACCAATACCTCTTCTCAGTTCTTCTTACCCCTTTCTCTAGAGGGGACGGGAGCGTGCCCCCTTACCACGATACCTTACCCTCATCCCACCCACCTCCCTTTCACCAGTGCGATAGTCCCCAACCCCACAAGGTCTTCCCTTGTTTCCTCCCCTCACTCATTCCCCCTGGGGAAAGGAACACGAGAGTGTTCCCTTTCGAGAGGGGACCCAAAAGTGACCTGCCACAAAGATTAGTGTTTGAAACGTGATATTTATGATAGCAAAACCGAACATGAGGAGAGTAGGATTATAATATAGGATTAAGAAAAGTAATTGGATTAATATTATTAATGATAATTATAACGTTTTCTAACTCTTATAATTAAAGATAACAGTGGAAAATTAAAAGCAATAATGATAACGATACAAGTAGGAACTAATAAAGTGCAAACAATATCAACATTGAAAAAGGCCATGACAACAGTGTAAGTGAATCAAAGAGAAGTGCTCAGAGATTGCCAGCCAGGGTGAGAGAGAGAGAGAGAGAGAGAGAGAGAGAGAGAGAGAGAGAGAGAGAGAGAGAGAGAGAGAGAGAGAGAGAGAGAGAGAGAGAGAGAGAGAGAGAGAGAGAGACAGAGAGACAGAGACAGAGAGACAGAGCACAATAGCATTACACAGTGAAGTGAGAGCTTCACCCCTAGGTCAGAGGTCGGCAGGAAGCCTCCAAGCAACAGGACGAACCGGGTGCTCAGAAAACATTTTTAAACTCTTCACGGAGCGTAAAACTCTTCACGACAGTTACCCTGGAAAGGATGTAAATGAAATATATTCAAGAAACAATTAAAGAATGAAATAACAGTCCCTCTGTTAGACAGCCATCAGAATCCAAATAATTATTTGTACACCATTTCACAATTAAACAAATTTTGCTGTGCATATCTATTTCCTTTTCGTTGGGGGAGCTAAGTACTGAAATCTACGTTTTAACGAATAGTTGTTAAGTAGTTAAGGAGTCTTTGATTGGGCAAGAAAAGGCAAGACCCGCGGCTTTAAATCCATCAAATATTACGAAACGAGAGAGTGCTTGCAGTAACCAAATACCCTCAACCATGCTCTCTCTCTCTCCCAGTGTGGCGACTATCTTTTGTCTGCAGGGTATACTGTAGTTATCTTTTGTCACCAGGGTATACTGTAGTTATCTTTTGTCTACAAGGTATAATGTAGTGATCTTTTGTCTACAGGGTATAATGTAGTGATCTTTTGATAACAGGGAATTAGAAGATTACCCGGATGTGCCCAGGATGGTGGATGGGTGTCTCTCTCCCCCACCACCATTCGACGTCTCTTATTTCCTCTCTCCCCACATTCCCCTCTTCCCACATCTTTCCCCCTAACTCCCCTCTTTCCTCCTTCGCTCCTCTCCCAAACCAAACCTAACTCTGGAAGCCCACATAAATAGGACAACGTCAGCAGTAGACTCTACACTAGCAAAATTCAGAATATCCAAGAACGAAATAAGAAGGCATTTAGAGCCGTATACTGACAAGGTGAGATCAATCTTAGAATTTGCCGCCTAGTCGTGAACCTCCCATCTAATAAACACTTGAGGATTCCAGAAAAGATTCAGAAGTTTGCAAGGAGGCCCTTCCCAGAACTGCGAGGGATGGGGTATGAAGAGAGACTGAAGGAACTAAAACGGACGACGCTGGAAAAAGAGTCGAGAGAAGGGAGACTTAGGGGGATTGACAGAGTGGAAAATGAGGAACTGTTCACAATGAATACCAATAGAACCAGAAGCATAGGTGGAATAGTGAAACTTAGATGAGTCATAGAGGTGCTAGAAAGGTGCTAGAAAGAAAGAAATAGGTGTTACGCTAGAAATTTTAGCGTAGAGTAGTGGGGAAATGAAATGAACCAAACGAGCAGGTTGAATCAAACTCCATTTATAATTTAAAAAAAAAATCTATTATAGAGAAAAAGGTCAGTAGGCATTGCCTTAGACAACACGCAGCTGAAAATGCGTGGCTCAAGAGCTAACGCTCGATCCTGCAGGTACAAATAGGTGAGTTCACATTCACACTCAATATTTCTATTAATCTTAAAAATATTTTCTAAATCCAATAACTTAAAATAAATAATACAAAGTTAACCTTGGATTTCCTTTCACTAAACGTATACAGGGTACAAAGTAAATGGAGGAGGGGAACGAGCGAGCTGACAGTCGTTGCAGTATCTAGTTAACGACCAGGTCTTTGAGGAGTCCCTCGGGGGGTAGTAATAAATGTAAAAGGCACAATTTCTATACATTAAAATGATTCAGTATGCATAAGAAGTTACTGGAAAGCTCTGAGCACGACTCAACATTTTTGCAATTTCCAGAAGAATATGAACAAGACGTTTTGCAAGAAGGATGGTTGCGACTCATACTTGCAGGATGGAGAGGAGGGGAAGGAGAGATGACTCAGAATTGCAGGAAGAAAGAGGTGGATAACTCAGCCCTACAGGAAAGAGCAGGATAACTCAACCCTACTGGAAAGAGCAGGATAACTCAACCCTACAGAAAAGAGCAGGATAACTCACCGTCCCGGAAAGGAGGACTGAGTTATGCCTAGCAGGAAGGAAAAGGAAGATGACTCCGCCTGGCAGGAAGAAGGAGCGTGGTAAGAGAGGTGGTGAGGGAGGATACAGCAAAACTGGACACAAGACGCAATCATGAATTCTCATCACGTGAAAACGTGAAGAAAATCTAGGAACAATGATAACTCGTGTCAGAATGTTTATCTGTCCATAACTGGACAAGTTAGCAGGAAACTACAGCGTGAATGACAGACCCTCCAAAACAACGGATGCCACAACAGTAAACCTATTTTTTTCAAACAAGTGCTATTCCGCTTGAAAAACGGCTTTTTATTTTTTTTTTACATTTTGAAGGTCGGTGAGAAAATAAACAAATAGGTGTTCAGAGAATCTAAACTATACGTACAGACACATTTAATTAAATACTTAAATTACTGGTACTATCTCAAAACAACTCAGAATGTATTCGTTGGAACGGACATGATAGAGAGACGGAACAGACACGAGAAAGTGGATGGAATGGATATAGGAGATATCACATTGATTTTAAATGGAACATACTCAAAGGTTAGATCAACAACCTGGTTGACCAGTTCAGCAGCGAGGAGGCATGGTCGAGGACCGGGCCGCGGAGGCGCTAAGCCTCGAAACCATCTCAAGATAACCTCAAAGGAGGTCCTCAATCTGCACAATAAAATAACAACAACTTGTTGGAACGAAAGATATGATGGTAAGTGTATAACAGAGCAAGTGAAGAGTGGAGGTAACACAAGCACAGTCATCAAGCAAGCACATTTTTTAATATGCTGAAAGGAAACAAAATTACGAAAGCATTTTAAGAGACGGCCACAGCTGGGCCGAGCATTGTATACCACGAGGATAAGTTGGTCATTTCAATACGTAATTTTACTTCAACATTTCCGTCCCTCTATCCCCTTCCATTCCCGTCCCTGTATTC